CTCCCTTCAGCGGGAAGAAGACAGAATGGAGGGGAGGGGGGATCGATGAGAGAGAAAAAGAGGAAGAGGGAACAAGTGGGAGATAACGCTTGGCTGCTGCCGCTGCTGCTGCTGCTGCTGCTACTACTACCGTTTCTTCTTCTACTATTACTATACTTCTTCTTCTTCGTTAGTATCGCTTCCAGCTGTCCATCCATCCGTCTCTGATCGATATGACAGCATTCTCCTTCCTCGCCACAATGACTTCTTACATGGCGCGCAACGCGCCCGCTTCGTGTCGGCTCAATCGAGGACTCAGTTTGAGGGCTCGAGGAAGTTGGAGAGAGGGGGACAAGTTGGGAGAAGGCGGCAAGTGTATGTGATTGAATTAGGATAGATTTGATTGAATCGGGAGGTAACTCCTCGAACAGGAGGTAACTCCTTAGAGAAGTCGACCTCTCACCGGCGACAGAAAATGTATTTGCTCGAAGATTCCTCAACTGGAAAATATATGCAACGTTTAGATCACGCGATGACTGATTAAACTTAATTCAACAAGAAAAAAATATTATTTGACAGCGTAGAACATAATTTTTGATTCCAAATGTAAAATAAATTCAAAGCAAACATTTAATATGCAAATATTTAAAAATTATATTTTCAAGTAATCTTAAACCTATTAATCTTAGACCTAATAATTTCATTTTCAAGTATTATCTTAAACACAAAGATCGAAAAGTTTCAAATTATTGCGTAAATATTATAAATAACGTGAATAAATTATAGTTTTTTTGACAGCTGGAAAATTAACTTCGCTGTTCACTCCTCGTTCCTTACGATTACAGACGCAGAGTGGTACACAAGATTAACGAGAGCTCGCTCCTTTAACAGGAGTTTCGATTTGTAGCGGCGGCCTGATCGTGCCACCCGTGGTTAATGAGCTTAAAGGACATCAAGAGCGTGAAACAATTCTGTCGCGATGCGGAGGATTTTCATATAACTCGTTCCATCGCGTCGTTTTACCTAAATGCAGTTGATCGCGCAGCAAACCAGGCAAATTTGATTGTGACAATTATCTAACTGTATCATCTAACTGTCACTCGTGTCCTTTAGTCATAATTAAAAAAACGCTTACATATTAAATTTAGACAAGCGTGTTTGAAACAAAAGCGCATCTCATACAATCGCGATTTGCGAGAGCATATAAATTTATATTACCACGAAACCAAAATTAAAAATTCATAAATGCAGCATGTTTCAAAGTTCCGAATGCCTAAGGTTTCGCACTTTTTTTATCGCCTCGCGGAAAATTTTTACGTGTAAAAATTTTTACGTGTATTAAAAGAGCTTTATATTAATCTTAATGAATAACAAAATTAGAACATTCTACGATAATATATTTTGAAGAATCGCCCGAAGCTCCCACGGAGAAAATCAGAAGTTCTTAGAACTCGGTTACTCGTTACAGCTACTCAAAACTGCAATTACGTCTTTGATGAGATTTCGCGCGAGGGAATCCTCGTTAGGAACGAGTCCAATTGACGGTGCTCGAGGAGACGGAGTGACAAACTGGTGGCGATATTAAAATCGCCGCGGGAACACGTTTTTCGCCAGCTGGCGTCGTTTAAGTAATAATTTGTACCTGTATGTGTGACTGACGCGTGACTAACCACTCGCGTGTCACGTCATTTCTCTTCCCAAGCACCTCTTCCCATCGAGGATATCCCCTGATTGCAAATTAATTGAGAGTAAACGCGCGCGGGTGAGTGCTTTGCGAGCGAGACGTCGCGGCTAATCATGAATAATGAATGTCGTTCTAGTGCAGTTTAGAAATGTTTCCGGAAACACGAAATTGGCAATGTTATCGGAAGAATTAAAGTAGGAAGAAATTAAAATGACTATGAGTAATACAATGACCTTTCCTCAACACAAATGTGATTTACAAAATTTTATATTAACATTATTCGAATGAATTTTTCTTCTTAAGCGAACTTTTCTTTTTATTTATTTCTTTAGATTATCGTCATCTACTGAAATACATCATTTATTTATGCGACAATGATTAAACTTTGTGAGGTGGTAATTACATGAGGAAATGATTAAACTTCGAATTCTTTTTATGATTAATTAATGATAATAAAGAAATTTGGTGTTCATATCGATATTTCAATTTAAATTTAATTCAAATTTCCCTCTTTTCTGCTTTTTCAAAGCTTTTCAAATTTCCTTCTTTAAAAAAAAAAAAAAACATATCTCTAAATATGTATTTTTGAAGATTGGAGATACTAAATTTTCGATATTTATAGCTTTAGATTACAATTTAAATTTTTTGAATATTGCATTCTTGAAACTTTTTTTTAAATGAAAAATTTCTTTTACAATAGTAAAGAATGATACATAATAGAAAATTGTAATGATGACTGTAACGGAAATATATTGAATAAATGTTGAAAGAATTATAAAGCAAATTTTATTATTAAAGAGGAATGATCAAATAATATAAATGCACCGCGAGATATTTCAAATATGCAAAACATTTTGGAAGTCGGAGGGATCCTTTAAGAAAACGTGGCAAATGTATGGGACAAACAACTATCGTCAACTAGTGCCATTACCATAGACGATATCGACGACACAACCACGAGCCGACATCAATAATAGACAGAGGAGACTACTTTCTCGCGGGAGACAAAGAGAAAGAGAGTAGTAATGGACAGAGAGGGAAGAAGACAAAGGGAGAGTCACAAAGGCGCCGGCGCAGCGCGCAGACGCCCGGCGTCCCGACGTCTCTACCCCTCGAGCCGGCTTCGGAAACCCCACCCCGTCACCACCCTGGCGCGATCGTAGCGTGAGGGGGGCCAACCCCCTGCTTCTCTGCCGTGATGACGTCCGCCCCTGGCCCTGGGTGGCCGTCCCAGGATCGTAATATTATGCCGACGGGGAGCAGCTTCCATCCCGCACGAGTCTACCGCGTCCTTCGAACTTCCTTCTCGCTCACTCCGGCGACGCTTTCGCGAGTTTTCGCATACCGTGCGTTTCCGGCGCGCCAGTTTCTCGTTCGTAGATTTTCCGCGCGCGAGTTCCGCTCAAGGAAATGTCCCTTTTCTCCGTCAAATTTCTCTGCACAGCGTAGCTCTCCGTCGCATTCGCGAATCTCATGCTCCCACGGTGATTTCTTTCGATAGTCCCCTCGTGAATTTCCATGCCTTGGAATTTGGGAGAATTCCGCTTAAAAGTCGCTTATCTGTCGCATCACTAGTGAGCTTTTCGGTCGGCAATACGCTTTTGTTTTTTTCAAATTTTCGGTTGCAAGTTTTTTGACAACTCATCTTAATAACGAAATAATTGAGTTTGCTTGATTGTTAAAAAGTGTGAGAGAAGTGCCCCAAAATGATAAAACAAATCTAACATAGTGATTAGTAGCGTGACATGCTATTATTTCTCTTGAAATCTAAAGAAAGAAAATATCTACATGACTCGAAAGGATTGAGAAATTTAATGAGGATGTCATGCTTCGTGAAAGAAATGTGAGTGGTGAGTGTATAAAATATTGAATATTTAACAAATTTATCGATGATTATCTGATGGCTCGTGTTTTTGTTATGTGTTATTCCTAATGAAAAAAATTGAGAATCTGAGAATCACAAAGCAATCTATGATCGAATTTAAAGATTTAAGATTCTGTGATTTGAAATAAAATAATTTTAACTAATCGACAGTGTTTCAATGTCTTTCAATGTGAGAAGATACTAAAATTTAAAGCTATAACACTCTAAAAGAATTTTAAATCCTAATAATTTAAGAAATTCTGACCCAAAAGTTTAAAAAAACTGAGAATCTAAGGAAGTCTGTAACATCAGTAATTTGATTTGGTATAAAAAGTCATGAGATTTTATAATCGTAAATCAATAAAAAAAACTTCTGTTCCTTTTTATAGAATATTTAAAAAGAATATATTTAATATATAAGGAAAGTGTAAATGTTAATTTTATAAATTTAAACATTTTTTTAAGAGCGTCAGAAAATTTTGGATTGATGTGTAAAGGATTAAATTTAGTATTAATTTAGTATAAATTAAGATAAATGGAAGTTAAACTCGAGGATTTGCTAACCGCAATTGTGACTCCGATATCTTTTTCTAAGAAGAAATTAACCAGTATTTCACTTTGAATTATCTGTAATCACAGTGGCCACTCTTTTGCTTAACCGCAATCAAAACCGAACAATCTTATTCAATCCTCCATCACTCAAAGATATTTTTCGCTTCCATCATTTTTGTAGATAACATTAAAAGTAAAATGATAAAATGATTCAAATTTAGTATTTTAAAATTGGATATATAAAACTGTTCAACTTTTTAAATAATCCCTTTAAATAATTATTTAAATGGATTAAAAATTAAGAATTTAAGAAATTTTATACGATAGCATGGTGTCAGACTTATCAATGGATAAATTGCAAATAATTGAATAGTTAGATGCAAATTGTTAGTTTTTCTGCAAATCAAATTCATTCGGGTGCCTATTTAAGTTTCTTCTTTAGAAATAATTCACGAGCGACACTTTAGAGAAGATACAATTTTGTGCTTCTCGTCGTCACGAAGATTCTATTATCAGCAGAACTGACGATTACGTAGAGAAATTATCTACTCCATCGGTGCGGTTTTTCGCTTGTCCAGAGCATGATTGATGACCGCAACGACTGCCTGGTCGGTTCAAGGCAGTTCGAGAACGTCGGAACGTCAGAATATCCGGCGTTGGAATCACGTCGAGACCGAAGCAAACTCTGGAAAAGTTAGCTGGTCCAAGATGACCGCGATTTAGATGAAAATAGCCAAGCAGGAATAAATCCGGCCGCGCTTCGTCGTCGACGAAACGGAGAGAAGCGAGAGACAAGCCGACCGTAGAATTTGCCGTCGCATCTTCAGCTATTTAATCGATTACAGGTGAACAGAATACGGAAGGAACACTTGTCAATCATTAAAACTCTCGTCAAGGCATCTCAGTCTGAGTATTTTATTTCGTCGAAAATAGAAAAATTATTGGTTTTTTATTTCAATACATGGGATATTAGGTTGCGAAGCACAAAACAATTGATAAAACAGATATTTTAGAAATTACCCTACAAATAGCAATTTACAAATTGCGCCACAAATAGAATGTATGTATACATAAATACAACGTAGATTGTTAGCGAAGGTAATATTATAAAATATGAGCAATATATGAGAAACGGTATGATTTTTAATATCTCTCTTTCTCTCTCTCTCTCTCTCTCTTTAGGTAGTTAAGTGTTATTTTATATCGTTGTATTGAGACATAATTTATTTTTATTTTATCTCCTGATATAAATGTACGTACAAACACACAAATACATACAACGTTACGTTTTAAATACGTTGTATTTTAAAGATTTGTAGAAACTAATAAATCGTTAATTAGTAATTTATAGCAAATTTATATTTATGTAACGAAATGTGTAATAAAAAATTAAGACAAATTTATGTAGTAACATTTATATTACAGAGCTTTTCAAATAATGATATAATTTTTAAACGACCATTTAATTCAATTCTTCAGCCAAATTATCCATTCAATAAATAATATCTACTTAGTTTAAAATTTACTGTAGTATAGTCTGTAGTAGAGACATTTTGTTTGTCAATCCAAATACTTTTGAGTAAATCGAATGTAGTTAAAACTCAAATATCTTCACTGATGTAGCTACGCACGCATCTGTCGAAGTCGGAGATTCCGTTATCGTAGGATCAAGCGAATCGATTTTATGGAAATATGGCGCGCGATAATAATAATTCGAATCCGAGTGCTATTGGAAACATAATACTACCGCAATGCAAATCTGCGAAGATGGCGGACGCTTCGCTTTTCACTTCGAACAATACCGTTTTCAAGGATGAATTAATTAATGTCGAAGAGTCGTATCATTACGATCGACGTTGCGTTACGCGCAACGCAATGCTTGAAACGATGCTTCCGGTACTCGATTCGGTTGCTCGAATGGAAGTTGCAAAATAACGTGTTACACTTGTGCGATTCAGCTTACATTCATTTCGTATAAATCAAATATCGATATCTTATAAGTCTACGATTTCTAAACACTCAACTTGTATAGAACTTTTCCAACTTGGTTACTGGAAGTGAAAAATTGTTTCTCTTTAAGATGAAAGAGTTTAACTGTTTTCGTAAGCAAAAAGACTTCACTTAGCGTTCGCATAAATCATGATTCGAAAATGAGAGTTATTTATTAAAGAGATACGATCGAAAAATTAAATTAAATTAAATTTGTTTAAAATTATATAAAATATTATTTAATGAATATTATTTATAAAATGAAACTAATCACATATAAATTTCAAATTGATTGACCGTGTAGTTTAAAAAAAATAATTAAAGTTAGAATTTTATGCATGATATCTTATGGCAAATGCATTGAATGTATGAACTGATGTATGATATTACATTAATTTTTAAAATAATTCGATTTACATGAATATTATATAAATTGTTGGAACAAATCTCCTTGCAAAAAATTAATTCTACCACTCCATCTACCTGTAATTTTGTTACATACAAGCAATAAAGCTGATAAAAGTATGCTAACGTGCGTAAATAACTAACTAATCCTAATATCTGACAGCAATATTTGATTAGAAATGCCAATTTCATTTTCGGAATACAAATGATTAATAGTCGTTGAACGTGAAATATTAAATTATTTGTATTTTATAAATGATATTATGATAAATATTATAATAATATTATGATTTATATTAATATCATAATCAGAAATTATAAGTTAACGCTCATCTTCAATTACCTTTTTATTCTAATAAATTATAAAATAGTCTTTCTCTTATTAAATGTATAAGGATATAAGGCGTATCCCTTTCGTCACCTTCCATCTCCGCAAGGTGATCGATCGTACCTCCTTAATGGATTCATTAGCACCGACTACGAATTGTTTTCATTCATTGGTCCCTACTCGTGTCACCTGGGCAGCGTGTCCTAAACGCATCTGCATGCGAAGCGACTCGTAAGGATACCGATCCTAAATTTTCGAAACTCCATTTTGTGATGTCAGGAAGATGAACTTGAACTTGAACTCGACAGGAAGATGAATTATTTTTCGAATTTATTATTATATAAGTTGATTATAAAGTTTCTTTAAAGTAATTAAAAATTATAATTTTATATAATTTCCGTTCTATATATAACAAAAAAATTAATCTATAATAAAGTAAGCAAAAGAGAAAAATAATTTATTTCACACACATTTGGGAGTGTTATTTCCAATATATTTATTATTACTTTATATATACAAACCAAGATATGATTTTGAAATTTTACTTTATTGTTAAACAAATAATAATTTTAACGTGCAAAGAAATCCAGTAAGCTCAAGTAAGTGAACATGAAAGTGCGGTTTAATTCTTCCTTCAATTAATTTGCTAGAGAATTTTTATAAACATAGATCATCTTTAATATATATTAAATTTGAAAAATTTCAATGCCTCCTACCAGATCAATTTTATCATGTATGAGTGAATGTCATTAAAGTTACGTATGAATACATCAATGGACAATTCTTCTGTATTTTGAAATAACTTTGACAATCAAAGAATCGATGTGTAAAGGTCTATAAGTATTTTATATTACTCGAGTCAAGGTTAACGGTTAGAAGAGACTGCAATTTCTATCCATGAAATTACATACAATTGACAATATAAACGCACATCCTCTGTCACATTTCCACTCGAAGCGTCGAACATCACTCGATAAGAAACTTATCTCGAGTCTCCGTCATCGTTTCCGGAAAATTTACTAAATTATTATACAATAACCGATCGCAATTTTCTTCGTAGAATTGCTCTTCTACGTTGAGAGATAACAACTGCAGTTATACAGAAGGACTTGCGCTAACCATTTGCAGAATGCAACGATATGCATCGTAGCGGCGTGCGACAAGCGAGAGGAACATGCTGAAGGAAGTCGGCTGCGGTAACACCACACCCCCCGCCGGGGGACGGGGAGGTGGAACGAACAATCGGCAGATCAGCGCGAATGAAGGCGGCGGGGGCGGCGGCGGGGGCGGCGGGCGGGGGCGGCGGGGGCGGCGGTATCACCGGAGGGTGCTCTCGGTTGCGGTGGCTGCGGAAGGGAAATCGCCGAGCGTTGGTATCTAAGGGCGGCCGATCGCGCATGGCATTGCGGCTGTCTGCGCTGCTGTCATTGCCGGGTAGCCTTGGCCGCCGAGCTCACCTGCTTCGCCAGGGACGGTAACATTTACTGCAAAGAGGATTATTACAGGTTAGTCGAAACATGGAGGCGCGAGCGATAAGTATAAAGTCATCATTTTTTTTGAGAGAAAAAAAAGAGAAAAAAATAATCTGAAGAAAAATCTGAATTGAAAAGAAATAATCTGAAAGATAATCTTTAAACTTATTCTCTGAATGTTTTATGAAATTTGTTTCTTTCTTTGTATGTCTACTGAAAAGTTTATCAATCGCCTATTTCAACAATTTCATATCAATATCTTTAAAGCTTCATTTGTAAGGATTTTATGATGAAGAAAATAATTTCGATGTTTATGTTAGGATGTGTTCTAAGATGAATTTATCAAATGACGGGGATGATTAGATGTGATTTGAAATTAGAAAGAGAGTACAGAAGAGATTGAGGAGGAGGAGATGAATTGAGAAGATCTCAAAGTTTTATACTGTTTTTTATTAATATGCGAATAATCTTGCAAAACAATATTTATTTATTTTTATATATCTAAGACATAGAATAAAATTATATTTACATATTTAATGTAATTAATTAATTTTACATTAACCCTTTAATGTGTCACATATAGAGCAAGCCTTCGATTTTATTGTTAATTAATATAGCTGATGTTGTTCCTGCGCAGCAGAAACGAACAAATTTAATGTAATCTTTAATTCTCTTGATTAAATCTAAATTTGCTTGAATTGCATTACAGATAGAAAAAGAATATAAAGAGTATGTTTTCACGGAAAAAGTAAAAAAAAAATTAAAAATCTGTATTCTTTTTTGATTCAAAAAGAATATATGTACTTTTCAAAAGAGTATGTCTGGTCACTCTAAATAGAAATAATGCAAGATCGATTAACACGTACTCTTTTCGATATTTATTGGAATAGCATTGAATTTACATATAAAAAAGCCTCCATTCTTTCATTTCTTCCCCATTCTCTTTTACTGAAACGTTTTTTTTTTCTTAGATCACAAAATATCCACTAATAGTCGTTTTCAGATACATTGGTCTAATCGTTATTCAGGAACCGAATCTTGAATTCCATATTCAGCGCAGCGATACACTTGCCGATAGAGAATGCGAAGAGTCATAAGAAAAATGAAAAGAAAGCTAATTTTAAGGAATGAAAACATTTTGAAAAATACTAAGTTATAAAGTTACTACTACATCTATTAAGTTATTTCGCTTATCAAGTATAAAGATTTGATAAATTTAAATTTTTAAAATTTGAACCGAAAGTTTAAAAGTCCTAAGTCCTAAAAGGATTAAAGATTTAAAAAATTCGAGTATAATTGTAAACGAAAAAATAAGCATCGTTCATCATTCATCAAATAGCGCTTACACGACGTCCGGCATTTCAGAACGAGGGTGGAATGAAAGGCTGAGAAACGAGTTTGTTAGAGCGAGTAGAGGAGAAATTCAACAGTCTTCCATGCAATATGCAACAATGCAAGTTCTTTGTTTCCATCTACGCGAATGCGAACAGTCCGCTTCGATCGCTTGCAAAATTCGAGCGGGAATTCGCAATACATTCACGAACATTCGCAGAGCACATAATGTTACCGCTAGGTTCTCAAGCGTATCTAATTTTCTCTAACTTTAACTGAGGAAGTTAATAAAAATTAGGAGAGCGTGCAATAAATTAGAAAAACCGCGAAGAACTTTTAAGTTTTTAAGATATCAGCAATATTATATTCAATTAACATCAATGGAAAGAATCATATAGTTAATATAACAAAGATTTAAAATGTATGTTTGAAAATCTCAGAAAATGAAAAA